ACTCCCAAATAACTGTTAGAAAAAATCACATTTTATATCATTTCACATGACTGTGAAATTTTATATGTACGTGAAATAGGAACATTTCAATTCACATGTGAAAATGCTCATTATATTTCTGATGTCAATTTTCACATATGAAATTTAAGTTTCACATATTTTTTGATGGTTCGTATATAAAAATTATATGAAACTGTTTCGCATTGGAATCTATTATTTCTTATATGTGCATAGAATTGCAACACTTCACGTGTGAAAATTTTTTTTCCGACATGTGGAGTGACAGGGACGCCGGAACGATGTGAAGGCAAGGGGGCCAGATGGCTAAGAGATGTTTGCGAAACATCCGCAGTTGAACTTCGCCTAATCATGTTTTCTATTGATCGGATGATAGGGGTGTGAGGGGTTCTCCTCCAGGCGATTGTGCTATTCTTGAAGCTCGATGACTGCATTTCTTGCGTTTTCTGAAGCAAATTCGTAAAAGAATTGCACCAACATTTCTGACAATTCGCTATTTCGCCAAGGTAATCCTTTAAATTGAAAGGCCACCTGTGCCCCCCCCCCTTGCCCCTTCTGGTAAAGGGCAACGGGGGGCGACTTCCCCTCCTCCTCCCCCCAGTTCCGGCCTCCCTGTGGAGTGATATGTGAAATTGTCGTAAGAGAATTCAGTAATGCTAAAACCCTTGGCGGAGGATATCCCTAATAAGACCATGGATTGTAAAATAACTGGATAGGAAACTTCCTGACGTCACAGTCTAAACATAGTTGCAATCTGTGACGTCATGTGTATTGCGAAAACTTTCAGCATTTTTGTTGTTTCGCTATATTTTCCGCTTCAAAAGAGTAATATTGAAGCATAAATTGGTCTAATTGTTTTAAAAGCATGCCTAAGCCACGACAAAGTATTCAAGGTAAGTGTTTTTCGTCTTTGTTTTGTATTTTTTAACGTTTGTAGCTACGAAATTGTCGTCGCCAATTTTTACGAAATTTGCGATGCATTTTTCAGTGTTTAGTGCTTGAAATATTTGCTAAAATTGACCGGGAATACTTAGAGATTTCATCGTAGAATGGCTTAGTCATGTTTATTTGCTCTTTGACTAAAATGTTTAGCTGTATTATCGCTAAACATGCCGTTTTTGAGAATTTGGTTTGCAACTAGGTTGCAACGCCATCATCCCATTGAAAACATTAGGTCACGTCAGCTAGTTTCCTATTCATGTATTTTATTATCCATGAAAAGACTAAGTGTGCACTGCCAAACAAAATGCATTCAAAATTCAATAAATTGCATGACATTGACCTAATTCGTTATTGTTATCACGAAACTGTTCATTTCGTTGTTGCCGCATAAGCTTTAGACAACAATATGTGCATGCTAACTACTGATATTAATGACTGTGGTGATCACAAATATGCAAGACTTCGGTCTTATTCTTATTACGTTGATCAATAGCAATGAAGAACAATGCCCTAAGATACAGCAAAACTGTAGCGTCTAAGGTCATGATAATTTTCGGCTGATAAGGCAATATCCATTGGCTCCAACCAGTTATCGGGATGAATAAAAAGTATTGGCGCTCAATATATGTGAGCATGCTTTCATGTTTCAAATGATGCCAATATATTGCTTATAGTTTTTGTCAAATGGAATTCTTTATTTAAGAAGAAGATTTACCTATGTAAATTCTAACCGCAAAATAACTGTCATAAACATATTTTTTTACACTGAAAATTGCCCCTCCCTATAGATAAGTATAAACTTGCGTAAAATGAACAAGAATTTAATTTCAAAAAATTTTTAATGTCTTTTAAAATAATCAACAATAATTTTGCACAGACTTTAAACATTTTCAAAATACATAATCCTATTTTTTGGCAATGTGTATCATGATTGGTGATTTCCGTGTTTTAGCTGCATGTACTTGTTAAAAATAAAGAATCTTTATGTTTAACATTCTATATAGGCAGATTGCAAGCCGTGAGAACTGCGTCATGTTACGCCTTATGTATTGTATAAGAGATTTGCAATGCAAGATACGCCAGCTCTATTCATACATACATACATGCACGCCATTATCATGGACATGAAACAACACTATTTAACACTATGTGGTTGCACCTGGTTGCCGTACTAAATTTATATTAAAATTCGTAAATTGATCGAAAAACTTGCGGGTTTTTTCTCGTGCGGGCAAATCAACGGGTCAAATTTGATCGTGTTGCCGGCACAAGAGAAGTAACAATACGTGCAATGATTTTATCGTCTGCTAGACACGTAAAAACGCACAAGTTGTCACAGCTCTGCAGGCAATGTTGTTACAAATCTGTTCACAAACTTACGACAGTACAAGTTACGTTGTGTTCGCATTGCTTTTTCCTAGTTGTTGTAACAAGTTTGGAACAAGCTAGCTGTTAAAAACTTGTAATATAAGCTTGATGGCATTATCAGACTTGTTACAAGGTTGTCCAACGACTGATACAGGCATGATATGAACAAGAATGTTACAAGACTTGCATCAATAGAAAGCTAACAAAAAACTACGTATAAGACATTTAAATTGTTAGTTGGAATTTTCAGGCGGTTTTCGAGTCATTGCTGTTTCCTGAATGTGAAAAATAAACCGAAATCTCGCAATAACCCTGTGCACTAGTCTGAAAACACGCTTTCGACAGCTCATAACTCAAGACGAACTTGAAAACCCTGGTAACCGTTTAAATGTTTTATATGTGGTTTTTTGCAAACTTTCAAACGATGTAAGTCCATTGTGTTAGAAATATAGTTGAAATTTCACATTTTTTAACATGTCGACAGGAGCCCACAAGAAAAGAAGAAATTTTAACGCCGCCATCATACAGAAACGTGCAGAAAAGGACACAATATGAATCCAAAACTATTGAATTGTCCCTCAAAATGGTAAGTTTTTTTCTATCTGCCCGACGGGGGGGGGGGGGGGGATAGCGGGAAGGTTAAGTGTCCAAATTACCTGATTTTTAAAATTAAGTTTCATGTTACCTAAAACAGTTTTTAGAATTTAGTGTGATTTTTGTGAGTATGTTCACGTAACACGCTTTTCATTCGATGGAATATATTAGCACAATTGCATCTCACTCGATATATTTAATTGTTGAAGGGATAATCTTGTGGTTAGAGATCTGCAACTGTCTCTTTGTAGCTCAGATGGTTAGAGTCCTGAACCAGTATCGCATGTAGGGCCGCAGGTTCGATTCCTACTAGATGGCCGAGATAGTTGCATTTTTCACTGCTCCTGGTTAGGTTTAATAAACCTACAAAAATTCCATTCGATAATTTTCATCTACAAAATCTCTTCAACAGTTAGTTATGTAGAGTGAGATATCCAAAATCCTGACAAGGAACGAATAAAGTTGAACTTGATGAAATTCACTACGTTTATTAGACAATGATTTTTATTTCTACAATGTTTTACGTTTAGTATACAAAGTTTCAGTGTGTTAACACACCTCTAACCTTGTAGAACAAACATTTTTTTGAGCGAAAGTGAATTATAACGTCCTTAAATATATAACAGCTAAATTATCTATAGGATATATGTATATGATTCTTTTCTAAGCTCGGCGCGGCTTACCACGGACAAATTACTAGTTGCCTATAACTGAGACTATGCATACAACTTGTGTTGACTAAATTACACTATTGACACTTCATAAGAATCATTACAAGAAGATACCAATTAAGTATCTTAATATTATATGCTTATGGAAAATTTCTTAATATTTAACACGTTCCGCAATTCCAGCATTCCAGGGTGCCCTGTTCGCAAGTTGGGCCCCCTTTTGTTACTATTCTTTGGGGAGCACTTACCTAGTTATTGTCAGGGGAGTTCAGGACATGGGTGTGGGGTGACGTGCCCAAAGCATGGTAAATGCTCCTGTATGATGATCACATCATAAAATCAAGAAAGGCTGTATATATATATGATGCTGTAAGATGCTATATATAATTACGGGGCTTCGGTGGCGAAATGGTTAGCGCACTTGCCTTTCACCTCTAAGGCCGCAGATTAAAGCCTCAGTGGGAACTTCCTCAATGCGGCTCGAACCCAGTCCTCATGTGACAAGATTAAAAAATCAACGCTCTGCCGAAAGTCATGGGTTTTCTGCGAGTACTCCAGTTCCCTTCCACAGGGAAAGTTGACTGGGTGGTTTAGGTAAAAGGGCCCATAGTATTTGGCATATGCTGTTGTGTTGACCCTGCCCTAATTGGCAAAGCTAAATAAATGAATAAATAAATGAAATTAAAAATAAGGAACCATGCTACCGAAGGAATACCTCGATTGAGCGCTCAAAGACAAAATGTGTAATTACATGCCTCATTTAGGTCCTTGCGTCAAAGAAAGTAACCGCATACTGAGATTGTGTTCTTGTTTGTGCGAGGGCGAAATATAATTTGAAAAGTCCTGTTTGGATTCACTTCCAAAAGATATTTGTCGTTTTTTCCGGCGTAAGGTTGAAAACAAAATTCTAATTTTGAAAAAGATAATAGCTTGCGTATGTATATTTAATTATATTTGTATTGATGTTAGGTTTTCTGCGCCTACATCTTAGAGATCGTATTTGGCAACAACAGACCTAGGACAACGTGGCTAGGCGCTAAAAATAGGCGGTCAAAGTTTTATGAGTCTTAAGTACGTTCAGCGCATGTGCAGATCGTTTATATTTTGAAGACACTATACTCACAAAATACGCACTTAGTTAATATCTAACATCGTTCTGGTTTGATACGCTTTTAACTGAGTTTTAGTTAGAATTTAGAAGATGCCGAAACAATGCGAAATTTGGGTAATTATTGTTTACACCAGAGGTCGGTCCTCATATTGCACATGCGCAGAACTTGACTTCATCTTTAAGTTTGTTACATCGCGACCGCAGCCTTTTATAAACACATTTCTTCTTTAAAGTAAGGACGTAAGTATTTATGAAATGAAAATAAAGTATTTATAAAATGTTAATGAAATGTTGCTTTATCTTGTTCTCAGTGGACGTAACTCTATCGCCTCAAGTGGTTGTCGTCTTCTTGAGCTTGGTCGACACATCATGCGCTGAAATAGATTTTTGAAAGCCTTTCTGTACGTTTGGTCCAGACAGGCATAAATTATTGGATTGCACAGACTATTGAAATAAGGAAGTTTGCTTATTATTAAGTCAGCTATGAGCATCCCACGCCGGGAGCTGAATGACATGTTATCGAAAGCAATAAAACTTCGACCGTAAAACAACAGCATCAAATAAATAAAGTAAGGACCCCAACAAAGTATAAACACTCCCACGACAACCAATAACATTCGGATAGTCTTCAGATCTTGAAGAAAAGCACTTCGTTGGTTTCGATCATTGGAGGTTTGACCCAGTTCACCATTTCTCAGCATCTTTTGTCGTTTATGAACAACAATAAAAATAAGAGCGTCCATAACCAGTATGACTACAGTGGGTAAAAAAAACACACTAACTGACACAAAAGTATAGAATACTTTCTTTTTATTATGATCTAAAGAGCAAATAACGCCGCCTGTTGTCAAGATTCCGATGCTTCCTGAATGAGGAGTGGCGGCGTAGGTGGCAAAGGCAGTTGAAATCAACCAAATGATAAAGATAATTTTCAATGATTTGGAAGTTGTCATTGTGGATCTATATTGAAGTGGTTTCCTGATTTTCATAAATCTGTCAAAACTGATAAATGTCAGTGTATAAATAGATGCTGTTATCGCAATGGTATCTATCCACACCATGAAACGACATAGATGGATAGACATCGTACGCATCGATTCATAATCAAGATTGAGTCGATTCGCTTTGAGTGGTTCTAAAATCATACCAACCAAAAGATCAGCGACAGCCAGACAAGCAACAAAATATTTATTTGGTTGATGAAGACTTGCTTCTCTCCAGGTCGCAACCAAAACTAAAGTGTTGCCAACAAGTGTGCATATGGCAAAAATAATTAACATTATTTTGTCTGCTACTTTAAGCTCGTCCACAAATGCTTCTAATTTCATCCAATCACTCGCCGTCATACCACTGGTATTGTTGAACAGCATCGCTGCAAAACTTGATCCTATATGGAATAGATAAGAATACCACACTAGTCAGACAAATTTTAACAGGGTCAGGGTGCTGCATGTATTCGTCAATTCGTCGTGTATTGACTTGATATAATCAGACTTTTTATGCAATGTGTTATATAATTAATTCTATAATATGTACGGATAAATTTGCAACAGATCAAAATACCACCAATTAAACAAAACAGAGAAACTTTTATAATAATTGACATAGCACTTCTAAGTTCTCACGGCTGTCGTTTCGCTAAAATAATTACCTCCGCTTAATGCGGGAGTGTATGACCTTGTGCAGGCAGACAATACATATACACATATATTATTTTATTGATTTCTATAGGTAACAGTATATTATGACTACGAGTGCAATTTGGAAAAGCATGCGCGAGTGAGTTATAAAAGATGATCAAAATTGGACGAATCCGAAGGAGTAGTGCAATTTGAAATCTTCCACAAACTCACGTAAGCAAGAGTTTGTTTTTCCAAATTGGACGAGCAACATTACTATTACTTAAAAATAATGTACATGAAAATATTATGCAGAAGCAAACTCATAGTCACTAGCATGCATGAAACACATGCGAAATAAATCATTTACTCACTCATTTAAATGACTCAACATCTTAATGGAAATTTTTAAGTCGCGGAAATAAAAACTTAAATCAAAATGGGCTTTGTTTTCGCGCTTGCAAAGTATCTCTCTCTTAGGACTGTTATCAGAATAGAATAATATTATTAATAGAGGAACTAATTTAATAGGTCACTCTCCCTAGCCTTCCTTCTTTCCCCTTCACAACGAGTACCATGTTAGTACAGGTATAATAGTATCATATTATTAGCAATGATGAAGATCCGGGCTTACGGATCGAAAACTTTGCATTAATAAATCACGCAAATCCTTTGTGGCCAAATTGGGTGAGGGAAAGTGCGGTTTCTGGAGGTAAGGGCCCCCAGAAAAGCTGGAGAAACAACATCAGGGTGGGAGTAAGGGCCCTCACCGTTATGGACATTGAAACTCGTGTCCGGACCGGGCTTCCCCGTGGTGAAGTGACCGAGAGATGCGAAGATCAGGACGAGGGTAAGGGCCCCTCCGTTATGGATCTTGCTCCCTTTGCAGGTGTGTGCTTCACCGTGGGTGAAGTGTGGCCGAGTGGACACCACTTTCCCCCACGTGGAGCATGCAGGATGATGTATATAATATTGAATATAAACAGTTGCATAGTTACATGGTTTAAGGATTAAGTACTGCAGCTAATTTTTGAGGAACAAAGCTTATGATCGTTCCCGGTGTACGAATATACAGTTCATAACACGATCGCCATCTACCAAGAGTTTTTAATAACCAAGGTGGCAGATTCGCAGCTGCAGCTGTGATAGCTGCACCTATTCTAAAGCTATGCGGGGCGTATTCTTGTTCTGCGTAGCCTAAAATATTTAAAAGTTCTCTTAAATTAGCATTAAGTAAAGCTCTTGTGAGCGGTTCCCCGTTCTGCAGGATAAATAAGGGTTCATCAATGTTATAGAAGTGTTTCGTTGCAGTAAATACTCTCGTAAGGCGATGACAACGCATACTGACGAGTGACTTTTAGAGATAGCCAGAGTAGTTCCGTAGCGAAACGGGTCCGTTTTTGATTGCTTTATGCGCACTTGTAGAGATTCAGGAGTCTTTATGTTCGGGATGAAAACGATGTCCTTGACAGAGAGAAAAGTCTTTGCACTTGAATATGTGAATTCGCTGATGCGTAGAAAACCGAAGAAGGCCAAGGTAAAGGCCGCCCAAAGCATAACAGTATCAAGTTCCTCGGAAAATGCAGGACGTAGCAAGGTTGAAATTTCTGATAGAATTTGTATAGTTATGGGGCGACGAATGCGTTGTGGAGCACTTGAGGACCGTTTGATGCCTTTTAAGATGCGGTGGAGTTGGAACATATGGTTGGAGCGGAGAGGCTGGTTCTCAAAGGCAGTTGAAAACAGTATGAACTGAGATGTTTTTTGCAGCCTATTGCTGATAGGTAAGGAATGCCGGCTTGGCAGAAAAAATGCCATTAGTGTCGTTAACTTGGCAGAACTTGTTGGCAGAAGATCTTTTTGATAATTTTGGCCGGATATCTGTTTTCCTTGCCTATCTAATCCCTTTGGGATTTGTTTTTTTCCCATTAGGTTTTCAGTGGCGTAGCTAGCGGTCCTGCTTGTCCTGCCCAACAGGACTAAAAATTTCCCAAAATTTCCTTACTAAAACATTACTTTATTCATCTTGAAGCTTTAAAAATTTATTATTATCATATTGTTATTTTGTATAATTTTCTCGTCTTTTTCGTTATTATTTTTTAAAAGTTTTCCGTATTCTATTACATTTACGCAATTTTACAGCTTGCCGTGTCTGTTACCTAGCAACTGCAACTCTACAAAAGGTCATTTCCGGGCAATATATTGATTTGCACGCGCTCGTGTTTCGGTCCTGCCATTTTCAAATGGCAGGACAGAGGAGGTTGGACAGCAGGCCGCAAAGCATCATGGGTATCGAGCGCCTAATTCCGCGCGTGACTTCATTGACTGTTGACTGTCGAGGAGTGAACATCTCTCTGACTAAACCAATATGGAAGCTTTCGAACGACAAGAGTGTCAGGCTGCGATACTTTGTGAAAAGAAGCAGCATGTTATTGCTGTATTGTTGCGATCATCATTATGACTTATGTTTTACTATACCAAGTTTACCTTTTTTAAATATTTGCATGGGACATGTTGTCATTTTAGCTTGATAAATAATGCGTCTGAGCGAACGAATTGTGTTTATATTCCCAGTAGCGAGGCTCTTCTTTCTAACTTGGATGACGTTAAATCTCCGTGTATCATCAACGTGAAAACAAGCGCAATATTTAAGGTTGGTATACTACAATGCATTACAGTTACCTTGTTATTTAGTTAAATTATTATCCGCTTTGTTGTTTTTAATTTTATAAATACACTGTACAAAATTAATATGGCGTAATATTTGTTTATAAATGCCTCTAGTTTGACCCTATTGTGTGTGTCTGTGTATTGTGTCACTGTGATACATATGTACATGCTTTGAGTTAAACAAATTGTTTAATAAATTTTTGCTGAAGTATGATGCCTGTTTGTATCTAGTTGTGAATAGATTTTTACATATATGTGCATACAATAGTGATATTTTTCAATTTTCATCTGTAAAATATTGCCATATTTGTGTGTTGTTCTATATATTACTGTAAATAGTGACACACTTTTGCATTAGATTTCTAATTTTAGAGATTACAGCTTATGTACAAAATAATAAAATAAAAATTTTCTTGTTATGATTTTGTAGAAAGAGATCTACTTGGGTGGTTGGCTGGTCTTGAACCTGGTCAGCATGGATATGGTAGTGAAGGTGATAGGGCAGAAAGTGGTGACCAGTTAAGTGATGAGGATGAAAGTGACGAGGACGAAATCACCCATGCTGTACCATTCAAGTGCATCGGTGCTGCTCATGAGAAAAATTACCAACATCAACAGCATACCTTGCTCTCCATGGACAAGATAAACCAGTGAATGTAAGAATACGGCCAGAGCCATTGAATCTAATGGACCCAAGTGCAATTGATGTAGACTATGGAACTGGATGGACACACATTGGTTATCTTGCTTCTCAACTATGCGAGTATTTGCACCGACTAATTGCCACAGGAGATATCTTAGAGGTTTATGTTCAGCATATCAAGTATAGGGTTGACTTTTTTAAAATAGGATTTTATCAAAAAATTTTCATAAAGCGACGTGGTGAGTGGGAGACTCAAGTGGTAAGGGAGAGCATGAGTGTACGTTGACAGATGTTTGTGATATAATTGTAACTGACTAGGTTTAGCAAGTTATAGAAATCAAATGATCTTATTTCAATTAGGTAACTTTTTAGATTTTCATAAACAAAAACTAGGTTAATCATAAGTGCGTGTGCACAATTAAAATAAAAAAGTCTGTCATGCACACTCATGCAATTAAGACAAGTACATAATTGTAACATGTGCTGTACTAAATGAAGAAATAAATAGTTTGTACATTCACTTGACCAACTTTGTGAGTAATTTTTATTTTTTATTAAAATTAATGCAACAATAAAACAAAAATATGTCTATTTATATACATATTGATCAAATGTCCCACAATAACATGCTGCTGATACTTTGTGGTACATTACATGAGAATACAAAAAAACCCTGCATATAATTGCACCTATCAATGTCAAGCCCCAGAGGGGGTGGGCATATGTAGGGTATTTGATCATCAATTGCATCCCCACTATGGGGATTTTGATTAGCATTTTGGGCCTGAGTTAGGGCAATTTGAACCAAAATGACTTTTATTAATATAGTATTTACTGCAATTTATTGCAAAATGGCGGGGTGTTTGACCAATACTTATTACCTAACAGTGGGGCATTTGATTGAAAATCAAATGCCCCACATATGCCTGACCCCACCCCCTCTCTGGGGCTTATCATTGAAAGAACCACTATTTCACAAACTTTATCTGAATTAGTTGTGTAACATCATTACAAAATACTGTTAAAAAAAGGCCAAGTGGGCCTTCACTCCTATAAAGGGCATTCTATCCAATGACATCAGACCAACATCTCCATGGCGTTGTTCTCCAAAGCATCGAGCAGCGTGCCTTGGCAACAAGTGGGAGAAAATTTTGAGGGACAAATTTAGCATCCAAAACAGGGTTAACTTTTACCAGCCATTTTTGAAACAGGTGGATGAGTATATTATTCTGGTTGTCGCTGGGTTAGTTTTGAAAATCCAGAAGTCATACCAATAACATAACCAGAAAGGTGAACAAGGTTTTGGTCACTCGATGGAGAGACAATCATAGCATCGGAGATCTTGCAGATGTAGAAGGTCTGTACAGATTGGAAGGATCGATTTTACCTCCAAATTTAATGATGATGCTTAATTCTTGCAGACCAAATCATTGACAAAAATAGAATCCAGCCAAAATCACGAATCTCAAATCTAAAACATCAGCCAAACAATAAATTTCACTTGTAAAATATTGTTACGGAAGGGCTTTAATTATTTGCACACTTTAACTGCAATATATACAATCCATAATATATCGAAATTTCTATAATATATGACACTTCTTTAGAAAAAAGCGAGTAATAGCAGTTCATTATCGATCTGAGTGACAAGGCAACATATTTTACAGAGGGCTATATTCAACGGTGAATATCTCGAAAACGGTTGCGGGACCGAGGGGGGCCGGCTGGATAGAATTAAAGATTATACTTTTGTTTAACTAATCGTGAAAAAATAGCGAAATCGAACCGTGGAAATTTGAGATTTTTGTCTTCAAAGATTGTTGACAGAAACGCCATTAAATTACATCGCGACGGTATAGTGCCTAAAGTGAGAGGTCAAAATAAACTGGAAAATAACGCTTACCTTTCAAGATACCGTTCCAATGGGTAGATTCACTGTTGTAAAAGTAGTATCGCGTGAAATTTCAAAAAAAATGTGCATAACAATATGAAAAAAGTCGATATTTATGAGCCCTATGTAAATTTTCGATGCCAAAAGCTTCATGCGAGCATTAGGAAAATGGTGCAATCTGATTGGTCGAGAGATTCGCCCAGATTCGCCTAATTAGCTGTCCAACCTCCTCTGGAGTGTGAACCAGGCTTTAGACGGTTCTAATGTTAAAGTCAGTATGTGTTAAATGGTTTCAGACTTTGTTACGCTCCTGTGTTTCTAAAAATCGTGAAGTGAAATTTTGTTTTTCGTGACTCGTGAAATCGAAAAATGATCTTCGTGATTTCGTGACGATACCCCCCCCTTGCCCCCCCCCCCCCAGATGTTGGAACAAGTTTGGAACAAGCTGTTAGTAGCTGTTAACAACTTGGAACGAGCTTGATGGCCTTATCAGACTTGTCACAAGGTTGTTCTAACAAGTCTGATACAGTTATGATATAACAAGAATGCCGTGGCAAGGTTGACGACACAAGGTTGTAACAAGATTGTTATATCATGACTGCATTGGATGTGTTGGAACAACCTTGCAACAAGTCTGATAATATCAACAAGGTCGTTTAATACAAGTTGTTAACAGCTTGTTCTAAACTTGTTGACAACTTAGGACAAGCAGTGCGAAGACAACTTGTTGACGGCTTGCTGGCAGACTTGCCACAAAACGTGAGATTTTTGCGTGTGTACATTACAATTTTTGCCTAAAACTGCATGTTGCATGCAGTCATGCTAGACTTGCCACAAGTCGAGTGAAGCGCGCCATAGAAGGGTCTGGAAAGGACCTTGGCAAGTCTAGCAACATGCTTTAACTTGAGTTGTACTAAGTTGTTGTAGGTGAATTGTGTAGTGCCTGTTTATGTGCATGTAGCGCCAGGGCCGTTGCGAAGGGATATGGATTGGGGGGGGGGGGTGTCGAAGGTCAAATTGCCGAGTGACGCTAGTTGAATTTGCCGAGTTTTTCAAAATTTTGTAAAGGTTAGATATAGGTAATGAGAATCATATTGGTGTGCTAGTAACTGAGGGACACCAATATGGCTCTTGTTTTGAAATGGATGCCTGTTCGTGGGTTGTTGCTAAAAAGGAATCGGGTTGCTTTATATATAATATATGACATTCTAAGAACAAACAAATATAAGGTCACGAAATCGAAACACACAATTGCAATAACTGCAACCACAGCTCAATGATGAGCACTATTTTATTTTCGTGCATTTGTTTTCAGATAGGAGTATTATTTTAATTTATTTATATTAAACATATAAAGCTGAAAAAATTTAAATTTAACATAATTTATTTATACTGTGTTTTCATAAGTCCTAAATCGAGACTGAAACTATGTGCACACGGGTCACGGTTTTGAGCATTTTTGCAGTGCCGTTTTCAAATTTAGCGTTTAGGCGCCTTGTTCACATTGATCGTTTTTCTCGCAACATTTTCTGACAAAGCTGAGTTTTTTATAGTCTTCGTTTCCAAATTCGAACACGGAATTTCATTTTCGCCTTCTACTTTTCTGTTTAAACAATAACAAAGTGCCGGCCGAAACGACCAAACGTTTCAGACATAGAGAACGAATTTTGGCATCGTTTTCACTATTTGAACTAAGTTTTTGCTTCCTGACGTCGTTTTCATACGTTTTCGTGTGAACAGAACGTACGTGAAAATGGTACTTTCAGTTTCAGAAATTAACGCATTACAACCAAAAACCGAAAAACGCTCGGAAAGCGACGGAAACGGTACCGTGTGCATATAGTCTGAGTAATGAGTGTCTTAGACTGTGGTGCAGACGTGCATCTCCGCAAAGTCAGAAAAATTATCCAAGTATTACCCTGGTTCCAGGGGTTTATTTTTATTATTTTCATTGCGAAGGGGAGGGAAAATAAACCTCTGGTTGAAAGCGGCCGAATTGATTCATTGAGCCGCGCCAATCAGTTTGAATTAGGGTCAGATCCTGTCTCCTGATTGGATGATCGTATTAAAGCTCTCTGATTGGTTATAGATGTTCTATTTGAACCAATCAGGGAACTTTAATACAATCGTCCAATCAGGAAACAGAGTCAGGATCTGACCCTAATTCAAACTGATTGGCGCGGCTCAATGAATCAATTGCCGGATAGTGTTAACTGGGCTTTTGTACGACCCGATTTTCCAAGTGTTTAAATTTTATACGTCAGAAAGCGAGTAAAACGGATATGATCATATGCAACCGATCGATGATACCGATCGCTGTATCCGGTATGTCTTTCAAAACTGTAGACTGATCAGAGTTAACAGTAATTTCGCTAAAGAACGAAAGAAGACAAGTCCATTCTTATGGCATGGCTCGTCTTTCGCTTGGTCTTCTCATGTGCCTGTGGAGTCTTCTTGAGGATCTTGCGCCTCTGACGACTCAAAATATTCTCTTTGGCTTTGACTGCGCTTTGCAGTCTCAAACGGTTTAGCCGGTACGTCTTTATGTGCTACTCGCACTCGGTTTCCCTTATGGAGTTATGGGCAACTTTGCTCGTGCCTCTTACGGTAATTGTCGGGCCGTATGTTACATAATTTTTATGGTTAATACGTTTTCCCTCGTGGAATAAATAATAAAGTTTCTATAGTCGTCAAAAATCGAATTACATTCAAGACACTAAAGTTTTATTCTTTTTCTTTTGGGTTTTGAACCGCGCATAATTGATAAAGAGCCTTCGCTATAAGAGCAGTCGAGCGAAGAACATGCCCGGAAACGTGGGTTTCACATTTCACCCTCCCGTCGATTTTTGACAAATAAAAGGCTAATAGTATTACTACAAAACAGAAATACATTTAAATGGTTTTGACATAAGGCCACACAAACGCTTTATTTATCGCCTTCGTTCTTAACTTTTACAATTTGCTGAATGCCGATTTCGCAATTTGCTGAACAGTAACGAAGCAATTTGCCGACTGGGGCTGACTACACACCCCGCTCGCAACGACCCTGTGTAGCGCGCAAATGTTGTGTAGTGTAAAGGCTAAACTAAAGCGGTTTTCGTTTTTTTTTATTTTTTTAGTTTTTGAGGTCTTAGTTTCGAGGTCTTTACTGAGTTTTCGAGGTCTTAGTTTTCGAGGTCTTTAAGTTTTCGACATCTTAGTTATCGAGATCTTTAAGTTTTTGAGGTCTTAGTTTTCGAGATTGAATGGGTACGACTAAGAGATTGGTTTTCCGTCTTAACTATTAGACTTCATTATAAATTTCGAAGCCTTAGTTTTCGAGGTTTTAGTTTTCTAGACATCCAATTTTCCTCATCTCAGTTAGATGACTTTTCATTGTCTATTTGTATAGATTTGGCTGCATTATTAAGTCATTATTTCCCTCTCAAACTTCACAGATTATTGCAAGTTTACAAATGATTGGGAGTGGGGGGGGGGGTCCTCAGTATCTATGGCCCTGCACTATTATTTATACCTGAGTATTTAAAGATTTGAACATGCATGACTAATATCCTAAATGGTTCATTGGGGGTAACATGCCTCCTTAAATATTCAAGTGAAAATCTTTATATATAGTTATTATTAATCAAGAAATCTTTACTCCACGAGGTAAATTGTGTATTTTTAAACTATGTTAAGTAGTGTGGTTTCCACATGCCAGGGTCATACATATTGATTTTATCTGGGGAGAGGGGTGGGTGGGTGTAGTCCCAAAGAGAAAGACCGGCCATTACTCATTTGTGAATCCAGACGTATATAACTCCGGGCAACTCAGTGATAACCATGCAAATGCAATCTTAAAGTCAACCTGTGCATGTAGCACTGAGTACAGGCGAAAACACAGTTACTACAGGATTTTCAGAAACTCAGAATACATATTTTTGGTACGTAAATGTGCTTTAAGCAAGCTGAACTGATTAATTATCATATTAGGTATAA